TAGCCATATGCCACTCAGCCAGTCTTCTTAATTTCCTTGCTAGTCGTGGATACAGGGTGTCTCCTGCCAAAGCCCAGATAGCCTCCACAAAAGCCAAATACCTAGGTCTCGCTCTCACCCCCACCACTCACTCCATCACCTCAGATCGTAAGGCAATTCTTCGTGATCTCCAGGTGCCCACAACTAAACGGCAGGTTACATCTTTCCTAGGTTTAGCTAATTTCTTTCATCTCTGGATTCCTAACTTTGCAGCCCTAGCTCAACCCCTCTACAAGGCCGCTAAGGGTCCCTTATCAGAACCCCTGGACCCTACTAAGCCCATACATGCCTTCCTTTCAAAAATTAAAAGAGGCTCTCCTAAAAGTGCCAGCTCTTACCCTTCCTGACCCCACCCAACCTTTCATCCTATACACTACTTGTCAGGGCCACAACACTATAGGTGTACTAGGACACAAAAAGGGACCTTCTTTTCAAGCAGTAGCCTACTTGTCAAAACAGATCATACAGTAAAAGGATGGGCTCCTTGTCTCTGAGCTCTTGCAGCTGCAGCCCTCCTGACACAGGAAGCTAAAAAGTTTACATTAGGACAATCTATTACAGTACACTCACCTCATCACCTACGTGAGCTTATCTCACATAAGGTGCTCCCCGCCCTAATGACCCCTTCTCGCCTTCAACAGGTACACTTAACTCTCTCTCAAGACCCTGGCATCTCTATTGCAACTAGTGGTCCTCTTAATATAGCCACCTTACTTCCCACCTCAGAGGGCCATCCTCACCATGACTGTATAGAGTTTTTACAGATGACTCCCACTCCTTTCCCTCACATCAGTAGCACACCTCTCTCCTTGGCCTTTGACACATGGTTCATAGGTGGCAGTTCAACAAACACAGACAACCAAAAAAAGGCAGGATACGCAATAGTTAACCAGTCAAAAGTTATAGAGGCAAATCCACTGCCACCTGGAACCTCTTCCCAGAGGGCAGAACTTATTGCCCTTACAAGGGCCCTTACACTAGCAAAAGACAAGATTATAAATATATACACTGACTCAAAGTATACATTTAGCATTTTACACTCTCATACCTCTATCTGGCAAGAACGGGGTTTTATTTCCACTCAGGGAACCCCCATCATTAATGCTCCCCTTATCCTTAAACTTCTAGAGGCAGCCCAACTTCCAAAGCAGACAGCAGTTATTCATTGCAGAGGACACCAAAACTCTACAGATCCTATTGCTCAAGGCAATGCCTTTGCAGATTCACAAGCCAAGTTAACTGCACAAGGGCCCTGCCCTTCTCATCTTCTCTCATTAGTCCCAAACAGTCTACCTTAGCCCAATTATTCACCAGAGCAGTTACAGCTACTTCATAAACCATGTTACATGCAAAACACTCAGGGATGGATTTTTCAGGGATCTAAACTTGTTCTCCCACATCAACAGGCCTCAGACATCATCGCTGACCTACACAACTGTTTTCATATAAGATCACAGGCCCTATACAAACTCTTAGCCCCAATAGTCACACACCCTTCTCTAAAAGCTATCATTCTTAAGATTACTCACACCTGTGATCTCTGTGCCAGGACCTCTCCTCAGGGGCACATGGCACCCCTTCCTTTCTTACCCATCAGTTTTGGGGACACACCCCTGGTCAGGACTGGCAGATAGATTTTACACACAGGCCCTGCCACAAGACCCTCAAATATCTTCTCACCTTTGTTTGTACCTTTTCAGGCTGGATAGAAGCCTTTCCCCCAACCAGGGAAACTGCTGATGTAGTTACCAAAATCATATTACCAAGAAATCATTTCAAGGTTTGGTCTACCTCAGAATATTCAGTCAGATAATGGTCCCGCCTTTATTTCTCAGATCACTCAACAGGTATCCTCGAGCTTACATATCACCTGGCACCTACACATCCCATACCATCCACAATCCTCAGGGAAAGTAGAAAAGGCAAATGGCCTCATAAAGACACACCTTACAAAACTCACTTTAGAACTACACCAACCTTGGCCTCAACTTTTGTCCTTAGCCTTAGCCAAGCTCAGGGCACTTCCCTGGGCTCCTACTTTTTTAAGTCCTTTTGAACTTATGTATGGCCGGCCATTCTTGCTCCACAATCTTCCTGATCCCCAAAATCTCCTTCCCCTGGCTGACTATGTCCCAGTCCTCTCCTTCCTCCGACACCTGTTGCAACAACATGCTGATCTCTGCCTTCCACAACCCTCTGGAGAGGCCAAACCAGATCCTCCCATATCCCCAGGAGATCTAATTTATCTCAAATGTTCTAAATCCACAGGACTACAATCAAGGTGGAGTGGCCCTTAGCTGGTCTACTTGGCTACCCCTACAGTAGTCAAAGTTGCTGGACTCCCATCCTGGTTTCACATCATTCAGGCTAAGAGGTGCCCTCTCAGCCCTAAATCTGATCATTCTGAGTGGTCATCTCATCTTCTGTCACCCACCCGTCTCTGTTTCACGAAGGCCTCACAGCCACAGTTAACAGGCTAAGTCATGTTTTGTTATCCAATCTGGTTCCTAATCTCTTATGTTCTATTAATGATCATTTTTACAGCAGGACTCTTGACAGTCTTTCCTAGAGACTCCCACATCATGCGTAAGATCATCTTCATAATGTTCTATGTGATAACTGTTGTGGTTCTTTTTATCCTCAGCTGTCTGGTTAAACGTGACATCCCTGAAAGCCTAAGCCCTTACCTTCCCTATACTGGTACAGCCACCGTCTCCCCTACTCCCCCTATTTTTTCCAGCTCAACTCCTAGACCGGAGACAAGTTTTACACGCCTACCCTCCTAACTTTTATGCTTTCAGATGGGGGAGTAATCACCTCTCATAATTTCACTCCTTCTAACCTCACACTTATTTTTTAAAATTCTACCTCACCATGATAATGATCCTACCTCAACGTCATCCTGATAGAATAACATGTCTAAATCAAAGGCACCTTCCTCTCTACCTCACCTGGGTCCTTAAATATGACAGTGCCATGTCTCCTCATAACACCTTGTCTCTTTGTTTTTTCAGTCTAACATACGTACATTCACCAGTGAAGTTGTCCTGGCTAAAACACCTGGTGTCAGAGTCTACCTGGGCATCAACCATCATACCGTCAACTCCCCTAGGCTCCAGTACAGTGCCCCCTGTCAGCAGGAAACAGTTAAAGAGAGAAATCTTCGCCCCTTTTCATAATAATCATAAGATGGGATATGAAAGGGTTGTTGACCCAGACCGGACACTGTAGCCAGAAAAAGCCTCATCCAGAATTAGGGAGCTCCTTTCTCCCCACCCCTAGAGATTTACCTGTAACCCTATATCCCCCCACCCTTCGGAATCTGCCCCTGGTGCCAAAAGTGTGCCAATGAAATACCTGTGCATCTCTAATGGCCTTAGGGCATTGCCCTAAACTTACGCTACTTATATTTCCCCATGCCACGTGTCCGCGTGAGAGAGATCGCCAGACTTCAGTGGCTGGCATGCCAGTCCTCTCTCTCCGTGTTCCCATAACATGTCTAAATCAAAGGCACCTTCCTCTCCACCTCACCTGGGTCCTTCCCTCTTTTGATTTATACTCCTCATCTTTTGGGAATATTTTTCATCTTCTGGAAATAATCCTATCAAATCTGTTATGTCTTTCAAAGTTCTTCTAATTAATGTTGATAGAATTTTTGGCGCGGCTAAAAAGATAAGTATGAAATAAAAGTGGCCTTTAAGAATGTGGAGACTCCATGATCTCTGGGGTCTGGCATTCTCTCTGCCCCACACGTGGTGTGGGGGCATACATGTAGCTTAGGTTTGGGGTGGAGCCTAAGGGGCATTACTGATGCACAGGTAGCCCATTGGAATTCATTTCATGCCACAGATAAATTGCCTAGGGGTAGGAAGGTGACCTCAAGATAGAGCCTGTTGGTTCTGCCTCCCAGACTCCCACCGCTGCAGCTTCTCATCCAGGGCACAAAATCCTTTCAAATGTTAACATTAAAAATTAGTTGGATCTAGAAATTTTCTGAGGTCAGGAATATAAAACTCAGAGTGACAAAGTCTGAATATATGACGAGAACTGTTAAGTCTGGTCCCATGCCACTTAACCACATTTTGGTCAAAGACCAAATATACAGAAGTATACACAGAAGTGGTTCGATGAATAACAGAGTTAGAGAATTTGTATCATTTAGCGGTGCTGTAGCTCTCCTAATGTCATAGGTGACACATCACTCGTGATTGTGGTGCTGGCAATGTGGACAAACCTACTATGCTGTACTAATCAACCCGGGTGCATGCCTGTAGTCCCAGTTATTTGGGAGGCTGAGGCTGGAGTATCACGTGAGCCAAGCAGGCAGTTCAAGTGTGGGCAACAAAATGAGACCAATTTCAAAAACAACAAAACCAGAAAAAAAAAAAAAAAAAAAAAAAAAGAGCACAATTATGTACAATGCACGAGTATTGGTTTATGTATTTACATTTCTATTGTTATTTTAGATTATTCTCATTCTACTTATATAAAAAATTTATTGTAAAATCCTATACCACATTATACTGGAACAGCCGCACACATCTCCTAGTTATCTCATCTCTTGACATCAACAGGCGCTGATGTTCACATAGTGAAGAAACTCACTCCCTTACGGGACTGGCCCTGTGCACAGGGCCAAACGCACTTTTTGTGTGTATGCGTCTTCTCCTTGGGTCTTTTTGGGTTTTCTGGTACTGGGAATGGAGCTCACAAACTCGGGCTTGCCAGGCAGGCGCTTGCTGCTGAGTTAAGTCCCCGACCCCTCACTCATAGATTTTAAATAGGACTAAGGAAGGGTTAAAATTCTCGGACCGGGGCACCCCTTCTGGCCTTAACCCGGCAGCTTGGACCTCCTGCCACCCACAAAAACTTGACCAGCGGGGCTGAGCTCTAGAGGTGGGGCGATGCGAAGGGGTCCCCCGCGGGGCGCAGCGCGCAGAGGAATCCGGAAGTGGGCGGGGCGGACCTTCCTGTTTCCGGTTTCTTTGGTCTCTGCAAAGTAGTTGTGGCCTGCGGGTGTGAGGCTCTCCGAGTGCTTGCCCAGCTGTGTTACAGCCAGCGCTGCTGAGGGGGGCTGGCTCAGTCCACAGCGCGAGTGCCATGCCCGTGACGCTGGGTTACTGGGACATCCGCGGGGTAAGCGCGAGGTCTGTCTGAGGGGTGAGAGGAACACGCAGAGCTAAGAGCTGGGGAGCTGGAGGCAGAATAAAAGCACGCAAAACCTTCTCAGGCTTGCTGGAGGCCTCTGCTTGTCCCTCAGTGCTCAGGAGCTCACTGGTGTGCAGACCTTTTTGTGTGTGTGCACGATCGCCTGTGAGATTGTTAGGAGGAGGTGGAGGCCCACAGTCAGGATCCCTCGGACTCTGACTTCTGCCCCTGGCCGTCCCTTTCAGCTAGCCCATGCCATCCGCCTGCTCCTGGAATACACAGACACCAGCTATGAGGAGAAGAGATACACCATGGGGGACGGTAATGGCACTTTCCTGTGCCGACCCCTCCCCAATCCTGATGATTGGTGCCCAGCAGCCCATGCCCTGCCCACCTGTTGCTTACTTTAGCAGCCTCCAGCTGGCTCTACAGCATGCCCCTTTCAGAAACCTCTCTGAAGTTGCAGTTTGGTCACACTAAGAGCAGAGCGTCCATCCCTCTCTATCTGTAATTAGGACATTTCTAACCCTTTTGTAAGGATCCACAGCCCTTACAAGCCCTCACACTTTACCTTGAAGCAGACTGGCTACGATTCCAGATCCATTGTCTCAGGGTTCTTGCCAGACTCCTTAGAAGTGCCAGTACCATGGGAAGGAGAGAGGGACTCCAGAGAGGTTTGACTTCACTTTCTGTTCTCTACCACAGCTCCTGACTATGACAGAAGCCAGTGGCTCAATGAGAAGTTCAAGCTGGGCCTGGACTTTCCCAATGTACGTGAAGGGTGGGGGTGATTTGGAGAAATTAAAGTCATTCCTACCTCATCTCCTTTCCTAGATTAAAGGCTTCAGAATTAGTGCTCAACTACTGTCTTTCCTGGTGTCTGCCTTGTGTTTCTGTGGTGGTGGTCATTCTGTAGAATGTGTGCAGGGCTTGCCATGGGCAGACACACTGAGTGTGTCATGTCTGCCCTAACTCAGGGAAGGGATGCTGGGACCTGGTGTCTCACCTGACCTTTCTTGACTGTCTATGCAGCTGCCTTACCTAATTGATGGGACTCACAAGCTCACCCAGAGCAATGCCATCCTGCGCTACATTGCCCGCAAGCACAATATGTGTGAGTAGAGCTAGCTGCTGGGTGTGAGGGCACATGGTCATCTCTTGGCTGGGGTCAGAAGCTGAGGGTGAGTCTCTGTTGTGCGGTGTATAGGTGGAGAGACAGAAGAGGAGAAGATTCATGTGGACATTTTGGAGAATCAGGTTATGGACCTCTCCAATCAACTGGCCACAGTCTGCTATAGCCCAGACTTTGTGAGTCATCTTTTGCCCCTTCGGGGCTGGATCCAGCAGTATTGAGATTATGAATTAGGATTCTTGGGTCCCCTCTATGTAGTTCTTTGTTTCTATTTTGATTTCCTTCAAGCTCTGTACATATCAAATCATTCCCTATGCTGCCACTAGTGTCTCTCATTATGCCAAGCTATGTTAAGTGAATCTTACTCAATTTCCACCAATCTTAGGATATAGTTCAGACTTTCTGTGATGGACATTCAGTTTCCAGTGAGTATAGTCTGTGTTCACTCCAAGTTTTACTCCTGGATTGGGCCCTTTCCCACCTGTTCCACACCATCTGCCTCCTCATAAGTGCACATATCGAGCCTATGAGGAGCAGAAGCACAAGGCGAAGGACTGTCATGGAACCTTTGGATTCTAACCTCTGCCACTTGTTTCCCTTCCCAGCAGCATGAATTAGTAAATTATCTTAATGGGCAGCTCAGGGTCTTTCAGAGAAAACTTTGTTCCTCTCCATCTCAAATACTCCTCAACTTGCTAGAAAAAAACCCTAAAATATGCATTTCATTCTTCTAGAGCCTACCAGGAAGAACTAGCATCTTATTCCCTGGGGCTTTCTGTTCTTGCTTTTTTTGTTTGTTTGTTTTTATTCTACTCAACATTCAAGTCAAAGCCAGCCAAGAGTTCAGGGCGTTCATAGCTTACACCCATAGAAGGTAACTGGGGACCTGAGTGTGATATGCACTATGTCTTTCTGATTTCCCGTTCCCACAGAAGGATGGGATTAAGTATCAAGTAGTAGTCTCATAAACTCTGACGCATGAAACTGGAACTTGGCCATTGACTGGAACCCAGTTCCTGTCTCAGGGAAGATGGCTCCTCATCCCTGGCCACCTAGAGCCACACACAGATCCAGCAAGGCCTGGTCTCTCTGCCAAAGAGCTTGTATCTGAGGGTGATGACAACTGTTTTCTACATCAGGAGAAGCTGAGGCCCGAGTACTTGGAACAAATCCCTGAAAAGATGAAGCTCTTTTCTGATTTCCTGGGGAAAAAGCAATGGTTTGTTGGTGACAAGGTAAAATGGAAAGAATTCGCAATTGTCATCCTTTTCAGGTTACAAAATTTCTAGCACATTCATTCTTGGCTTTCTGCAGATCACCTATGTGGATTTCCTCACTTATGATGTACTTTGCCTGCACCGTACATTTGACCCCAGCTGTCTGGAGGCGTTTCCGAATCTGAAGGATTTTATTTCTCGCTTTGAGGTAATGTCTATCATCCTCCTAACCCTTGGCTGTAAGGCTGTAAGCTTTTCTTCCCCTTTCTCTTTCACAATCCTTTCTTAGTGCTTGAGCCAAAATGAAGAAACCAGTGTTTATTGAGTTCCAGATTTCTGCCAGGATCTACATTCATGTCTTACATCTGTTATATGAAATTTATCCTTATAACATTGCTTTAAAGTTGACAGAATTATTAGTCCCATTGTACAGATGAGGGAACTGAGACTGTAGAGGGTAAGTTACTTGGTGAATGTTCTAACACCATTGTAGACTGTGCGGCCTCTCTGTTGGCTTTTGGTTTCTAAGGGTAGCAGGCAGTGACTCTCTGCTTTGTACCCAAAAGAAAAGCCTGAGGCTCTTGTCCAGCTTGGATTTCAAGCTTAGCACCCTTGGAAGTGAGAGAATATGTGAGGAGGGTGTATACAGCTGGTATCAGGAGGGCTACAACAAGGCCGGTGGTGTGAAAAATCAAGACACAGACAACATGACACCTAACTTTCAGAGTTTTCTGCTGAGTCATATCTCAGACTGAAGAAGCCCTGAAACCACAGGTTATAGTTTTTGCTGGATTAAGTACTCATTGGAGTACTCCTGTGGGAGGATTTTATCTTGAGTTTTGGGTATCAGATGTCCTGTTTTCACCCTTTCAACTTTTTCCTTCTTCTCTTTAAAATCTCAAGTGTTTGGGCTAAGGATTTAGCTCCGTGGCACAAGTGCCTGCCTGGCAGGTGCAAAGTCATGAGCTCGATCCCTGGTTCAAAAAAACCAAAAAAACCCAACAAGTGTTCCCTTTGTGTAATGGGGTCCTACTCCCATTGCCACTGATCTCTCTATGAGCCTCAGTGTAGGCCCAGGGGACACATGCAGTGACTCCCCGACTCCCCTGCAATCCTGGGATTCAGGCCTCCCAGACTGAGGTGTGCCCTGCTGTCAGGCTCTGAGGAGCGTAGCCTCATCACGTCATAGCTCATCATGAGTCCTGCGGGGTCCACTTCTTTGTTTTTAAAGAGTAGGAAGAATTTATTGAGAGAAAGAAAGCTTCTGTGTAAGAGGGACAGAAGGCATCCTGGAATAGTGCGTTGTCCTGAGTCTACTTCTTTGTAACCAACAATACCTTTATTAGAGATTCAAGAATTTGAGGTATTAGTGCAGTAGGTTTTTTTTTAGCTCGGAATCTTATTTCCTTTCCCTTCCGTATCCAGTGAAGTGTTTTCTCAGCTCATTTCTATCCATTCTGGCTCTGATCCAGGCCACGTGGTTTAGGGATTAGGCAAGACCTGGCCTGCCTATGGAGAGGAGGGAAGGGCAGGGGCAGAACTGAGGGCTGCAGGGTAGGCTGCTATGGGGCTGACCCCTTGTGTTCAGGGGGACGCTGAACCCTTTAGAAATGATCGGGGACTCATTCTCCTCTAAAGAAGGTCCACAGCACACCCGAATTTCATGCCACCTAGCCTATGTCAGTGCTAGAGATGTGGTAGTTTGGGACGTAGTGAGATTGGTCTCATATAGCAGATAGGGAAATGTGAGGTTTGTGCTTCAGGAATTGAGTAAGAGCTGCATGTGCTTTCCGGGCTGGTTTTGCTGTCTGTACACTTTACTGCAGGTTTTGCTGAATCCCTGGGTAAGATCTGTGATCTGTTCCATACTGTCCCTCTGTCCTGTTAGGCCCCTTCTCTGTGTGCAGACTTAGGTAAGAATAAGCCTGCCTGTGAAATAGTTTGCATAGAGAGGGAATGACAGGTCCTTCTGTGGAGACAGCAGGAGGGGGTACAGCAGAGAGAACACAGAAGTGGAGAGAAAGACCAGCCTGTATGTAGACCTGTCCCATTTGAAAATGAGAAAGTAACCTCACATCTCTATTCTGCTGCAGAACGTGAGCTTGTTCTTTGTTTTCCCTACTTGCAGGGCTTGAAGAAGATCTCTGCCTACATGAAGTCTAGCCGCTTCCTCGCAGCACCTTTATATACAAAGACGGCCACATGGGGCAACAAGTAGAGGGTCGAAAGCACAGGAGATTAGCGTGAGGAGCTCATTCTCTTCTTGCTGCCCAGGGCCCAGCCTGACTCACCTGCCCCTTGGTGGCTGTGTCTGCTTTGAGGAGCCGGTCGGAACCCTCTCCCTGAAGCTCAGGCATGCCCCATTTCAAATCGCAGGGCTGCCTGGAAGACCAATTTTGCCTCGTGGGCAACTTGTGCCCCATTGAGATCCCTACCCTGGTCCTGTGTGATCTGAATAAAGTCTGAGCTGCACCTGCTCGGTATTTGTCTTTCTGTGTCTGGCTTTCTGCACTTAACAGCTGGCACTGCTACTTCAAAGGGACTGAGTGCTAACTCTGGCTGGGTTCACAGAGGGAAGAAAGGGTTTTGAGAATTCCTGGGTTTGAGTGTTAGATTTTAGAGCCTGGGAGAGATTCTGAAGACAATAAAAGGCTTTCTGTACATGGCATCTCATCTTGCAGCATCATTGAAGCTCAGGCTTGCCTTTTGGGGTCTCCAAACTCCTAGGTCTGTGGAACTGGGTGGCACAACTGGGAGTGAGTGGCAGATAAATCTTCAAGTGTATTTTCAGCTGTGCACTTGAATCAACCCAGAATTACCTTTACCCTCACCCTTTGGGTGCTGAAAATTTTGGGGCGTCTGACTGTAGCACATCAGGGGCGCTCTAGGATCTTGTCTCTGCTCCTTTTCTCAGCTTTCATGGGACCTCTCTGCTTGCCAAATACTTGGTGTGGGACCGTCTTGCTTAGTTAATCCCTCACTTTCATGAGTACCTGTGAGATAAATTTCTTCAATACTTACATTACTGAAAATGTATACTGAGTATTGGTTTATATGCTCAGGGTTGGTAAGAATCCAGGATGGGTTGGGGTGGGCCAAAGTCCCCATTGCATCCAGGCTCTGCCCCTCTCTGCTCTGCGGCTCCCAGAACTAGGAGGTCAGGAATGCAAAGACCTGTTTGTGCATCCACAGCACTGTCTGCATGCTGTGATCCTGGTTTACTGGGACATCTGTGGGTAAACTAAGGGTCCACCTGGAAGGTGGGAGAGGGAAAGGGTCCTATATCTGCTGAATAGTGCTGGCCAGTTCTAAAAGATAAAGCCTCTTCAGAATTTACTGGAATCCTCTGCCTGTCCCTTCAGGAGTTCAAGCACATTGGAGCTCATACACATATAGTATGCGTAGGGTGTTATAGGCATAAATTAGGGAGGTCAACTGGTAATGCATGATGGGGGGCTGGGAGGTCAATGCTTCAGGATGGGCAGAGACCAAGATACTCCAAACTAGTCATTATTTATTGGGTGTACATAATATAGGAGGGCTAGTAGAAGATTCAAGGTAGGCAGAAGATTCAGAGATTGATGACGCTGCAGGTAACAGATAATCCTGGGATGACAAGAGGGTAGAGATGATATGCTTAGAAAGATCTTACTCTGGATTGTTCTTTTTAATTTTAGTAGTTTTAATTAGTCTTAGTTTTAGTTAGTCTTAGTGTGTGGGAGAAAATGGCCCATCCCAAAAGAGTTAATGGGAAGTCTCAAAAGGTTAATACCATAAACCCAAACCTTGATTTATCTCTTATGGAAGTATGCAAAATTTGCATTATGAATTTGTGGTCCCCAATAAACTGGAATAGATATTGTGCCACCAGGCTCCCTTTATCTCTGACTTCTGTCATGGGTCATCTGTCCCAGCTGGGTCATGTCACCTTCTACTCCTAGAATACCCAGAAACCAGCTAGCTGTAGAAAAGGTACATCATAAAAGATAGTAATGGCACCCTCCTGCTCAGATCCTTGCCAAATGCTGGTGATTGGTGTCTAGCAACCCCTGCCTTGGATACCTGTTGCTCACCCTGGCAACTCTCTTCCAGCTGCACCACAAGCCTGATTGTTTAAAAAAATCCCTTCAGACATTCTACAGTACATGTGTGCAGGGCTTGCTCTGGACAGACATTGAGTGTGTCACATTTGCCCTAACTCAGGGAGGGATGCTGAGACATCAAGCTCAACTGACCTTTCCTGCTTCTCCTGTAGCAACCCTACTTAATTAATGGGACTCACAAGCTCACCCAGAGCAGTGCCACCCTGCATTATACTGCACACAAGAATAACATATGTAAGGTTTAGCTGCTGGTTGTGGGGCACATGGTCATCTCTCTGGGCATGGCTAGGGTCAGAGGCTGAGGGTGAGTTTCTGTTGTGTGGTGTATAGGTGGGGAAAGAGAAGAAGAGAAGATTTGTGTGGACGTTTTGGAGAAACAGGTTATGGACACCTACATGCAGCTGGCCAGGCTCTGCTGCAGCCCAAGTTTGTGAGTTTGCCTCCATGCTGGGCTAGAGAAGTAGTGAGACTCAGGGGCCCAGACTCCTCTACTGTGGTCCTGTTGGCTGTGTGAACTGCTTAGTGCTACTCATTGTATGAGCAGATTCCTAATTTGCCCACAGAGTGACCCTCATATCCCAAAATCAGATCAAATGAGTCAATTCTCATCCTTCTTAGGATATAAACTTTGTTCCTCATGATAGAAACCCAAGCAATAACTTTTGGGGTCAGATTCCCTTGTCTTTGACCACCAGCTTCTGCCCTGGGTCTTCTCTTGGGCCCGGTTGGTTTAAAGAGTCATGGTTCTAGAAAACACAGACTCAAACTGTGTGAGAAGGTCAAACGGCTTGAAAGGGAACCTTCATCTTCAGATTTCTTCTCAACTCGTTTCCCAGTCCTGTTGACACTCACAGGCATAAATAGATTTACTCAGTAGGCAGTTCATACTCTACTGATAGGTTTTTATTTCTCTCCCTGTTTCCTTTTTTTTATTTAAAGAGAAAACAAAACAAAACAGTAAAGGGGTACAAGTAATACAGGATTTCAAGAAAAAAAATATACAGTAAGAAATCACTAGTTAATAGATTACATATTGTCATCTTAGAAACAGTTGTCTAAATTACAAAATTAAAGCATACAAAGTAGACATTCATACAGTGAGATTGCAGACAGTTCTGTTCAGTGATCCAACAAAAACTCAGTAATATGGTTTTCTATCCTACACACTTAAATATACTTGCAGTTATATCCTTTAGATCACTTTCTTTTCCTCTTTTTTTACAGTAACAATGACACATTTTGGGTTTTATTATACTCACAGTTCTTACTACTTTTTTTTTTGAAGAGAGAAAAAAAAAAAAAACCAAATGTGACAAAGCAAAACAGAGTCAGTTGGAACAGAAAGATGGACATAGTACATGAAGCGAAAACAGAATACCAGGTGATCAACAATGATTACCATTATGCCTCTTGCTAGCTTAAAAAGAGTTGCTTATATCATCAGGTATAATAGAATTGAACAAAACAGTACAGAACAAGACCAATAAAACCTACATTGGAGACCTTACAGGACTTCAAAAGAAGATAATAATCAAACCATAATGGGCATCATAGTAAATTTATTGCCTTCAAAGTGGTTGCCTATACCCTCAAACTTGATACTATCAAACAAAACAGAATATAGTAAAATCAGAACAAGATGGGTAGAGCAATACAGGGGTTCAAATCAGGTTAATAGGAAAATAAAAAAGTTACTATAATATATCCCGCTATTTTTTAATTTAGTTTTCCTTTAATTAAAAATATAAAAAATAAATTAATTTTTTAAAAAAAGGAAAAAAAGGGGGAGATTGAGATTAAAAAGGACATAGCAACAGAACAACACAGGTCATAACCAAACAATTTAAGCATCATTGTGTTTCATCACCAGATAACCTGACATAATAGTAGTTACCATAGTGTCTCTTTCCTTGTAATATTTGAGTATAACTTCGTATACTATAGCATCAAGCATATCAAGACAGTGTGAAGCCATTCAAGAGAATGAAAGTAATACAGGGTATTTAGAACCAGCTAACAGAAAACGAACAACAGTTTCTATATTATCTCTTTGCCTATAAAAAATTTTGTTTGGGGCTGGGGATTTAGCTCAGCGCATAAGCACCTGCCTTGCAAGCAGGTGGTTGTGAGATCGATCTCTGGTACCGATAAAAAGTTAAAAAAATTTTAAAAAATTTTGTTTATACTATCACATATATTAAAATATAATAAAACACAACATGTTAAAACCAATGGAAACAGATGAACAACAGCTTGATGAGACTTCAAAACAAGATGATATTAAATCAGCACTAGCTATTATGATGTCTTGTTTTCTTCAAAATAGCTATTCGTACTATTACAGACAATAAAATCGAACAACCCAGATTAAAACCATTGCAATTAGTGAGTGAAAACATTATATGGCTTCAAACCAACATGATTGGGAATCATGATTATCACATACTTTTATGTATTCTTATCATTTCTTACACTAGGGAAACTATTCGGTATTTATACATCTGAGTTTGATTTATTTCACTTATGAGTATGGTCTCAAGCTGCGTCCATTTATTTATAAATATCTCAATGTGATCATTCTTTATAGCTGAGTAGTACTCTATTGTATAAAAATACCACAACTTTTTTTTATCCATTCCTCAGTTGATGGACACTTAGGTTGTTTCCAAGATCTGGCTATTACAAATTGTGCTGCTATAAACATGGGTACACATATATCACTGTGGTATGATGCTTTCAGTTCTTCAGGGAATATGCCTAGAAGTGGAATAGCTGGGTCAAATGGGGCTTCCAATCCCAGCTTTCTGAGAAATCTCCAGACTGACCTTCACAATGGTTGCACCAGTCTATACTCCCACCAACAGTGCGGGAGAGTTCCTTTTTCCCCACAGCCTCTCCACATTTGTTGTTGGTCCTGATCCTGGCCATTCTTTCAGGAGTGAGATGGAATCTCAATGTGGTTTTAATCTGCATTTCTCTAATGACCGATGATGATGAACATTTTTTCATGTATTTATTTGCCGTTTGTATTTCTTCATCTGAGAATTGTGTATTCATCTCAGATGCCCATTTTTGGATTGGGTCTTTGAATTTTGGGAGTCTGATTTTTTAATTCTTTATATGTTTTAAACAGAAGTCCTTTGTCTGAGAGGCAGTTCACTAAGATTTTTTCCCAATGTGTAGGTTTTCTTTTCACTATGCTGGAGATTCCTTTTACCTCACAAACTTGCTTCATTGTTCTGGACACTGCAAAAGTCTAAGTCCTGGTCTGCCTTCCCATGAAGTAGACTATTGGTCTCTTTTTTTGAGCACTTTTCATTTTGCTTTTTCAATTCTGTGTGACTTCTGAGTTCACAGCCTAGTGGGTGCCCACA